GAAAAGTGCTGAGGTTTTGCTTTACCCAGCATCAGATGCTTCTACATTTACCTGAAAGCTCCAGATCTGCCAGATGACGTTCAAAACCTAAGCCTGCCGGTCCTAATTCCTGGAAGAAATGCCCAAGAGAGTTATTGAACTACCCACAGTGGGCCAAACTGAGATCTAGTGTGATTCCAACTCCATTGGCTGCAGTGACTGGAGTTGCATTGTTTTGCCGTGGGCTTGAATTTTGGCTCCTTGTACTTAGAGGCAGGGCTGCTGGCAGGGAAATAGAAGCTGTAGTATAGAGGAGAACTTTATTCACCCATTCTGCACAAGTCTGTAAGTGTGATCTGGCCAGTGCATAGGCCACATAGCTGGAAGAATTACCCATGGGCAGCATAGTTATTTCAATCTATGCCTCTGTCTGATTATAGCTCCTCAAAAATAGCCGGTTGAAAGGGAGACAGCATGAATTAAATCCTGTAGTTTCATTTTGTAGCGTGTTTTTGGAAGGGGGGGAGGAAGAAACGGAGCTCAGAATATAAACTGCACATTAGAATCGGTAATAGGTGTAATATAGTGATATAATTAACTATATAATGGCCACTGACTTGTAGGTCACAAGAGGGTGCTATATACTTAGCAGAAAACTGGCTATGTAAATAGCACAGGGCAACTATGTCTGTGTGATACAAATAAAGGACCAGACCAGTCACTGTAGTAACTGTGTCTTACTGGATTATTAGTTAGATAATTCTGCTGCAGCTCTGTCCCCATAGCAGGATTCCTGGAAACGTTTTGAACGTTTCAAATATTAACGATGAAGGAAGTTTCAAAAGGAGGAGAGAGAGGCTTTCGATTCTGAGGGAGACGGGTGAGAAACCCAAACAAGCAAAAGTCAAGGAAATTGCTGAGCAAAGCAGCAAAACAAAGAGACACAGAAATGTCAGACAGATTAAAAAACAAGTCAGGAGGAAAAAGTGGAAATCAAGGATAGTACAGGAGAGGTAGCAGGGTAGGGCTCAAGAAACACAACAGCTGCTATTGTACAACCAAAGAGTAACATTGTTATACACAACCATCATCTGTTAAACTTTGTTTGGTTTGGCTGTACGCTGGTTGGGACAGGGCCTGCGTGCTATATGTTTGCACCACACAAGAACAGGCGTTCTCCTGTCTGCTAGCACCCCACAATGGGATCCAAAGCTCGATTGCAGTCTCTAGGCTCCTGCCTTGCTCTGCATATGGAATGTCTCGGACATGAAGTCTGCCTTCAGGCCACATGGAAATCTCATATCACATTTCAGGTACAAAATGACAAGCTAAGGAAATCTTCTTTTGCCACAGGCAGCATCTTCTATGCTAGGTAAAGGAAGTTTCTGATTTAATACCAACGGGGAAGTTTCTTTAGGGAAGAGGACTGTGGTGGGACCTAGGAGTCAGGAGAACTCAGTTCTGTTCTTGCCTCTACTAATACAGTGATCTTTGGCAATCAGGGGTTAATGTCTCTAAGCTCAATTTCCCCTGTGTAAAATAGGACTAATGAAAAGTATTATGGTCCTGATTCTGAACCATACATGTCAATATTGACGTCAATGAGCATAGGAACATGCCCTATGTAAATGAAAGAAATTAATTATTATTATTATTAATTATTATGATTATTTATTTTATTATTGCTTACAGGGACTACATGACCGGGTATGGTGCCAGCTCTGTCTTTTGTACCTGAAGAAAACAGGAACAGCACCGGCTCTGACCTAAAACACATGTGTTAGGCTAAATATAGAGAGGTACCTGTCACTCCCAAAGGGACTACTTCCTGGTTAGCAGTTGTTTGCAAGACTGGGCCTTTCGAGGTTAAAAGCCTGCAATTCTGCATAAGAAATATCAGTTGTAGTGCCTTTCTGATGCTGATTTGTGGAGGAATTCCGGGCCAGAAGGGACGTGCATTTTGTGGCAAGTTGACAGCTGTCCATTCGCGTTTTAATTTGGTTATGGAATTTTTTAAATCACAGTTGTAACAGTTTGTTGGACTTTTCTCTATCCTAGTGATATTTAAAGAGCTAACTGTGCCCACTTAACTCTGGGTGGCTTTATAGAGGAAATTCTAAGGGTCAGACATGAGGGATGGAATAGCATAGGGGCGCTACACTAGCAGAGGGGCCTAGGGTGACCAGACAGCAAGTGTGAAAAATCGGGACAGTGGGTGAGGGGTAATAGGAGCCCATATTAAAAAAAGCCCCAAATATCGGGACTGTCCCTATAAAATCGGGACATCTGGTCACCCTAGAGGGGCCTAGCAACTGCAGTAATAGAGGATGTTGCAGGACAAGGTAGCAGTGTTCACGGCACCTTGCCCCTCCTTTGTCTCCTCTTCCTACTTGCAGTTCTGTCTCTTTCCATACGACCCCTTACATCTGAACAGCCTTTCCCATCCCCTCTGCCTTGAGCGGGGACAGCCTGACTGTGCTGGTGCTGAACCCAAGGAGCGGGAGTGGCTTGCGCCTTCCATTTCCTGGGGCTGCTGGCGGCCAATATGGCCCCTAGTGTGGGCTAGAGCAGACCAGAGGGATGCCCTAACTTGTGCCCGAGGTGTAATATTGACCGGGCTGTTCGCAATCAGGGAATAGCCGGCGTGTTGGGATGTCCGACTAATGCCTCCTCCCTCCCACAGCCCACTCTTTCCTGCCCCCAACACACCTCCTGCATGGGTGCAGGTGGGGATTGGTGCAGAGCTGCCTGAATTGTCTTTAAACCACGATTTGAGGACTTCAGTAACTCAGACATAGGTTAGGGGTTTGTTACGGGAGTGGGTGGGTGAGATTCTGTGGCCTGCGTTGTGCAGGAGGTCAGACTAGATGACCATAATGGTCCCTTCTGACCTTAAAATCTATGAGTCTGAGTCTTTGTGCATGCTGGAAAAATCCCCTTTGCCGGGGTATTTGCAAGGGAGGGGGCCTTTATGGCTGCTTTGTGCCCGTCTTAGTGCCCCTGGCCTCCTTCAAATTCCTGCTGTAACCTCACTTTCCCCAGCGAGGTCTCATCACTGGTGCGCTCTACTCCGGCTCTGCACTCTTGTTACAACAGCTACACAAACCCTCCAGAGCTAAGCGAGCGTGAGATGAAACAAGACAAACCTTCTCTGTAAGTTAGTGCACCTGAATAATCCCTTTGTTATCATAAACTCCTGAAATCATAACGTGATGCAGAACTACTCTGCAGTATCAGCAAGGCAGATTGAGCGGGGCACCTTAGAACCCAGGTGCTAGCGATTTCACTCCAACTCTCTTCCGCCAATAGTCATGAGAACTGGCATAATAATGAATAATGTGGTAAAGCAGGGCCCTCCGTCCAAAACAGCAGAGTGCATGGAGTAGTCCCAATTGCAGGCAGTCCTACACGGAGAAGTCTTCTTAAATTAAAGGAGAATGGGGTGTCTATTTCTATGGGACGAGTAGCATAGACCTGGCAAATACAGATGCTGCTATCCCCCTCCTTCCCCAAACTCTGCTTTCTCCAGTCAGATTTAGCGCTAAGCACTTCACAAGTATAGACTGGTTTAGGCTATGTCTACACTGGCAATTGAGCAACAAAACGTTTGTCGTTCAGAGGTGCTAACCCCCCTCCCCCAAGACAAACGGCAAGTGTCAGTGTTAACAGTGGGTTGTTGGCAGGACCGCTCTCCTGTCGACAACGCGAATGCCGCTCGTTGGGGGTGGAAGTATTTTGTCGGCAAAAGTACCGACAAACAGCGGCTATGCTGCCTGGCTTTTAGCTGTGTAGTGTAGACAAAGCTTTAGAGGGAAGGGCACGTGGGCAGCCTGTGTTGAGTAACAGTGACTCTAAACACGTTTCTCTCATGTGATAATAAACCATCGTGGCCAGCTCCCCTGGAGGTTTAGGGAAAGGCAAAACTGGCATTTAGGTGCCCAATTCCAATCACTCTTCCATGGGAGTTAGGCGCCTAAAGATCAATTGTGCTTTTGGAATATCTCCCCCTTAGCCCCTAAACTGCTGATCTAGTGTCCGGGCCACAAGTCTGCCTCCTTGTAGGACACGCTCAGCTCCCTGCAGCCGAAGGGGAGGGTATGTCCTTGGGGCAGTGATACTTGGGATAGTGTCCGGAAGACACACATGCTTCTCTACAAAGGCATGTCTGTTGGGGGTGGGAATGGGGAGAATGTCAGATATTCCAAAACCCCTGAGGCCAAATTTTCAGCCAATGTCAATCTGTGCCACTCCACTGCCTTCAGTTGACTCCACCAGAGGATATGGCCCATAAGACACGTTTGTACCTGGCCTCCTGGTGACGTGGCAAGGGCAATATTAAAAAGTAGCAGCTGTGGATCATAAAAAAGGAGCCATATAAATGTCTAACAGATCGAGTGCCCCTTCGTGCTATTATGGGTTCTATCCCCTTCGTGGAAGGTAGGTCGACTCGTATTTAACCGAGGTTACACTTGATCTGAACCAAAAGAAGCCAGTACTTTCAGGAAGAGCAGTCAGATAAAACATAAGTCAGTGTTCCCTGCCCCAGCTGGTCTTTGCCCCCCTGCTTTGCAAATGGAAAAGAAAGAGACCTTAGCAGCAGTCCAGGCTGGTTCCCTCCCCTCCCCCTGCCTGGCTGTTTTTTGGGCATGGAGCCCTTAGAGCTAGGAACACAGCACGGTGAGGAAAGAAATAAAATAACTGACTTCATCAGGTTTCATCACATTCACAGCTAGTTAACCATGAACTGGTGACCGGTTAACTGCTGCTCGCAGAGCCATAGGAGAAAGTCTGATTTCCCTTTTGCTGGAATAAGCAGCAAACACGCAGACAGGCTCCCTGCTTCCTTTAACCTGCAAAAACAAGGGAGTCCTTCAAAGCTCATCCATCCGCTCAGTCCTCTCTCTCTTCCCTACATTCTAAATCCCTGATAGTGTAAATCCTCACATTTGCTTCCCTCCCTCTCTCCCTCAGTCACACACACACTCTCTCCCCCTCCTCCCTAGTCGGCTGCTATCTGATCTATGATGATATGTGATCTCTTGGATACAACCACACACACACACAAACCACCAGGCATTGCTGCTACCCAGCTGAGCAAAATGTCTTTCTCCTAGCAGCGGTGCTCGTCATAGCTTTCAAATCCTTGACGATGTGGCCATGCTTTCCCCTCTGCCTTCTACTTTCTCTCTGTTTCTGCCTGCTCTTCCTGCCCTTGGGGCATCTTTGCCCTCCTCTCTGTAGCTGTATGGACTCCCACACTATAGACTGCAGGGATCAAGGACTCCCCAGGGTTCCTAATCTGTTTCCACTGGACGTACGGAAACTTCTCATAGCTGACAACAACATTCAGGTGATACCGGCTGATTTCTTTATATTTTATGGTGATCTAGTCTACTTGGACTTCAGGAATAACTCAATCACCTCCTTAGAAGAGGGCACTTTCAGCAGTTCCACCAAGCTGGTGTTTTTAGACCTAAGCTACAATAATTTAACGCAGCTTGATGCTGGGATATTCAAGTCGGCAGAGAAGCTGATAAAATTAAGCCTTGGGAACAATAACCTAGTGGATGTGGACGAGGCTGCTTTTGAGAGCCTGGAACAGCTCCAAGTGTTAGAACTGAATGACAATAACTTGCAGAGCCTCAACGTGGCTGCCCTGGATGCACTTCCGTCCCTTCGGACTATACGTCTAGAGGGCAACCCATGGGTCTGTGACTGTGACTTTGCCAACCTCTTCAGCTGGATACAAGAGAATGCATCCAAGCTTCAGAAAGGTAAAGCTAAATGACTTGCAAGGCAGCTAGTGTGTGTGTGTGTGTGTGTGTGTGTGTGCACTCACGCTGTTCCTGTTGGTCAGCTTGTCTGTCTGGGTGTATTGCCTGCAGTGATCCAACCTGTGAATTCTGCTCCTACCACAATTACACATTTGAACCAGCGAGTCCCTTAAAATGAAGCTGGTTTCCTTTAGTAACAACATCCCCTCCCAGTAAATGTGATATTTTGGTCCTGAGACTAAAACCTATCCATGTTGAGAAGGAGCCTTTTCAATTAGGGTAACCCAGCACTGATTCTCTTCCAGGCTTTGGTTTCTATTAAGTAAATAAATATATTTCCCTTAATAAGCCCTTTGAATGGCTGAATATTTGTGCCAGCACATGGGGGAACCTGATCTTACCCTGCCTAGATTTTCTGTGAAGCAGCACAGGATAGTTCAGTCCATGCATCCTATTTTATACCACTGTGGTTGTTGGACCCTCTCCTGGAATTAGTTGCTTTTGATTGCCTGCATTAGGATCTCAAATTCCAGCTTGGTTGTTGCTGGTTTTCATACAAATAACATAGCTTTTAGTTTTGGAAGCCAATTTACACGAGAGCGCAAGCTGCAAAATTTGGAACGGCATCCAGGTTTGGATCTGGAACACCTCAAATGGCGTTCTGGGGTTTTGGCCAGTTATTTTTCAGATGTGTATTGAAATAATATTAAAGCAGCCATGTGCAGGAATCCAGACTCTCCCTGCCCAAAGTTCCTGTTAATCTTACAAGCCTTAGCTAGAGATCAACCACAGTTCATGGTTCCCAACAAGCACCGGGTCATAAACTCATGCCACCAGCCCCCAAGATGCACATGAAAGACAAACTGCTAGGAGCGTAGGTGCTAACAGTGTTACTGAGGGTCCACAAAGTAACACCCTTAATGAGATCACGGCTGCCTAGTCTGCTTCTGAGCAGAACTATGTTTGACTGGGGAGGAATGGGGGGTGGGGTGATAAAAGGTTGAGGCTTGAGAGCCAGGGAGAATGGGAGGAGATGGAGAAAGAGGAAGAATCCATTCTCTAAAGAGCATCTCTGTGTATTTCATGGAATGTCAGAGGCAGAGGGAGAAAAACACAGAATGAGCCAAGAAAACGATTTCAATAGCTTTTCCCCTCCTCTTCGTTACCAGAGAGGCTGTAATCACTTATGTGAGCTCTCCCTGTGCTCGTGACCTTGGGTGGCATTTTTGATACATTAATCTTGTTTGCCCTAGATGCTCAAGGATGTAATGGAACCAGCTCCTATTAGAGATGAATGAAGTGATTTGGGGAGAAAAAAGGGTTGATCTCCTCACCCCCGCCGGGCGTGAGCCGAATCTCGACCTACTTCCCCCACGATGCCTGGGGCCAGCTTTGGTCTGTCTCTGAGCGGAGTGTTGGCAGGATCTGAGCCAAACCCTGGCCCATCTCTTCCCTGTATCCAAGCCAAACCTTCATCCATCTGCCCCTCTGTGTCCCAACGGAACCTTCACTCATTTCCCCCAACTCCTTGTCTCAACGGTATTTTAATTTTTCTCCCCGAACCTTTAACTGAGCAAAAGCTGTGATCATTTTCCCCCCACCTCCTTACCTGAGCCAGCATTATCCCTCATTCCACCCCTTTTTCTTAGCAAATCTTTCTCCCATCCCCCCCAAACCACCCCAATCTGTTCCACCTTCAAAAATATTCAAATAATGAGATCCTCCCCTCCCCAATCTGCCTCCCTTCCCAGGATACCTTCCTCCCCACCTCCACTTTCACCCTCCCATTGGTCTTATGCCTGTTCCTAAGTTTACCTGTGGTTCTTTAGCCTGGAAATCCCTAGAGATCAAGTTTTCTTACAGGATTTCCCATGCTTCCTGGGGTCAGCGAGGCTAAAAACACTTTGTCACAATGTTTTGTCTCAGCCATTTCCAACCCCAGATGAACCCAAAAATATCTATATATTTGTTCTGAGCACCAGAAGGAGGTGAGAGATGGAATCTCCATCCTTAGAGGTTTTTAAGGACCGGCTTGACAAAGCCCTGGCTGGGATGATTTAGTTGGTGTTGGTCCTGCTTTGAGCAGGGAGTTGGACTAGATGACCTCCTGAAGTCTCTTCCAACCCTAATCTTCTATGATTCTATGAGAGGAAGACCACTTGGAAGTCTCTTGATAAAGATAAAAGAGGTAAATAACAGGGGTAACATCATGGTAGTGGTCTACTATAGACCGCCAAATCAGGATGAGGAGGTGGATGAGGCATTTCTAGAACAAATAACAGAGATATCCAAAACACAAGACCTGGAAGTAATGGGGGACTTTAGCTATCCAGAGATCCGTTGGAAAAGTAATACAGTAAAACACAAAATTTCCAGTAGGTTGTTGGAATGTGTTGGGGACAATTTTTTTGTTTCAGAAAGTGGAGGAAGTAACCAAGGGGCAGCCATTTTAGACTTGATTCTCACCAACAGGGAGGAATTGGTAGCGAATCTGAAGGTGGAAGGAATTTTGGGTGAAAGTGATCATGAAATGATAGATTTCATTATTCTAAGGAAAGGAAGGAGTGAGATCATCAGAATAAGGATAATGGACTTCGGAAAAGCAGACTTTAACAAACTAAGAGAACTGGGAAGTAAGATCCCATGGGAAGAAAATCTAAGGGAAAATGGAGTTCAGGAGACCTGGCAGTTTCTCAAGGAGTTGATATTAAAGGCAAAACTGCCAACTATTCCAATGTGAAGGAACGATAGGAAGAATATAAAAGACTATGGCTCCCTCTTTAATGGCCTGTAAATCAAGAAGGAATTCTACAAAAAGTGGAAACATGGACAAATTGCTAGGAGGAGTACAAAAGAATAGCACAAGTATGTAGGGACAAAAGTAGAAAGGCTAAGGCACAAAGTGAGTTACACCTAGCAAGGGACATAAAAGACAGTAAGAAGAGGTTCTATGAATACATTAGGAGCAAGAGAAAGACAAAGGAAAGTATAGTTCCTCTACTTAATGGGGAAGAAAAGCTAATAACTGATGACATCAAGAGGGCTGAGGTATTTTAATGCCTATTTTGCTCCAGTTGTCACTAAAATGGTAAATTGTGACCAGATACTTCACATAATTAATATTAACAACAAGGGGGAAGGAACAAAGCCAAAATAGGAAAAGAACAGGATAAAGAATATGTTAGATGTACTCAAGGCAGCAGGGAGTGATGAAATTCATCGTAAGGTGCTTAAGGAACTAGCTGAAGCAAGCTTGAAACCATTAGCGATTATACTTGGAGAACTCAGGGACTGTGGGTGAGGTCCCAGAGGACTGGTAAAGGACAAACATAGTATCTGTCTTAAAAAAGGAGAACAAAGAGAACCCGGGGAATTATAGACCAGCCAGTTTAATGTCAATATGTGGAAAGATACTGGAACAAATGATTAAACAATCCATTTGTAAGCTCCTAGAGAATAATAGGGTTGTAAGGAATAGCCAGCATGGATTTGTTAAGAACAAATCATCCAAATCACCCTAGTTTCCTTCTTCGATAGGGTTACTGACCTAGTGGATAAGAGAGAAGCTGCAGATGTGATATATCTTGATTTTGGTAAGGTTTTGGACCACAAATAGAATACGAGTCAACAATGTTATGCAAATGCGAAAAAGGCTAATACCATTCTGGGGTGTATTAATGTGAGTGTTGTATGTAAGATCCGGGAGGTAATTGTCTCACTCTCCTTGGCGCTGGTGAGGCCTCACCTCAGCTGGAGTACTGTGTCCAATTCTGGGCACCACATTTTAGGAAACATGGACAAATCACTCTTCTCTGGACTCTCTTCAACAAAAGTGATAAAAGGTTTAGAATACCCGTCCTACGAGGAAAAGTTAAAAAAACTGGGCATGTTTAGTCTTGAGAAAAGACAACTGAGGGGGAATCTGATAACAGTCTTCAAATATGTTAAGGTCTGTTATAAAGAGGACAGTGATCGATTGTTCTCCAAATCTGCTGAAAGTAGGACAAGAAGTAATGGGCTTAATCTACAGCAAGAGAGATTTAGATTAGATATTAGGAAAAACTTTCTAATTATAAGGGTGGTTAAGCACTGGAATAGGCTTCCAAGGAAGGTTGTGGAATAGCCATCACTGGAGGTTTTTAAGAACAGGTTGGACAAACACGTGTCAGGGCTGGTCTAGGTTTACTTGGTCCTGCCTGAGCACAGGGAGCTGGACTTAATAACTTCTCAAGGTCCCTTCCAGTCCTATATTTCTGTGATTCCATGATTCTATGAATCAACAGAGCAGAGGAGCTCACCAATTTACCGAAAAAAAATCACTAAACTTTTTCAAGCTTTCAGAAGATTGAGTTTGCAGCAAAGGTTTGGGCAGGTTCTTATTTTATCTGAAATGGTCTCCCTGTCCCTATTCCCCAATCCTGTGAACACCTGCTTAACTTGCCTGACAGGGCAGTGCCATTGACTTCACTGGGACAGTTCACATGAGTGAATTTAAGTACATACATTCCGAAGGGGTTGGAGCCCTAGTTCACATTGCCTCATCGAAGCTACTGCTGTTAAAAGGGTAGGCTGTCTATTTCATTAAACTTAGGAAAGTATTACTCAAGGAGGTGAGGGCAAACCCAAGCCACAAAGGGCAAGATTTTCTCAACAATACTTTAAAATCATTGGGCTAACTGCCCCCACTCTGCCCCAGGCCCCACCCCTACCCCACTTCTTCCCCAAGACCCCATCCCCGCCCCACCTCTTCCCGCCCCCGCTCTGCCCCTGCCTGACCTCTTCTGCCCAGTTCCGCCCTCTCCCTCGAGTGTGCCCCGTCCCCACTCCTCCCTCTCCCCCTGCCGCTAAACAGCTGATTGTGGTGGGCGGGAGGTGCTGGGAGGGAAGGGAAGGAGTTGATCGGTGGGGCCGCCGGTGGAAAGGAGGCACTGGGGGGAAGAGGAGGAGCAGGCTGCCTGGGGATGCTAAGCATCCACTAATTTTTTCTGTGGGTGCTCCAG